TTTTTTTTTGGCCTGCCGTCTCCCCCAACCCGTTTTGGGCATGCCGTTCACTCCAAGCCTTCGTCGCACGCATCGCCATTAGTTGCTGCGCCACGTATTCTTCCAACGATCAGTTTCCCTTACTGACATCTGACACTACAGTCCTGCCAATCCTCTTTTCAAATCGAGACCAGGACTCAAGTTTGGATCAACATGGAGGGCATTCAGACTCATCCTTCCAACGCGGCTCAGGCGAAGGCCTTCACGGCTCCCGGCTCTCTGTCTTTCCCTGGCGGCCACGGCGAGCTCACGCCTCCCAACGACGTCAACGGACAGAGGCCCGTTGTGAATGGCGTTCAGCCGGGTGCTCAAGCCGTCAACGGCACTGGGGTGACTCCCGCGACTCCCGCTGCGACGCCTGCTGCTACCCAAACTGGCAGTGGTCTCACCCCCACTCTTCAGTGAGTTTGCCCTCGCTGGCTGTTTTGCATTGCACGCTTCTGGGGTTGCCATGTGCTAGGTGCTAATAAGGCAACCAAAGAAACATCGTCGCGACTGTGAACTTGGACTGTCGGTTGGATTTGAAGACCATCGCTCTTCATGCTCGCAATGCGGAGTACAACCCCAAGGTACATCTCGCCTCCCAGAACTTATGTTTCTGGGATTTTGGGCTAACCTGAGTAGCGTTTTGCGGCTGTCATCATGAGAATCCGTGAACCGAAGACGACCGCCCTCATCTTCGCTTCCGGCAAGATGGTCGTCACCGGTGCCAAGTCGGAAGACGATTCTAAGCTCGCCTCGAGGAAGTACGCTCGTATCATCCAGAAGCTCGGCTTCAACGCGAAGTTTACCGACTTCAAGATCCAGAACATTGTCGGCTCGTGTGACATCAAGTTCCCCATCCGGCTGGAGGGTCTGGCTTCTCGCCATCACAACTTCAGTTCTTACGAGCCTGAACTGTTCCCTGGTCTTATCTACCGCATGATCAAGCCGAAGATTGTGCTCCTCATCTTCGTCAGCGGCAAGATTGTCCTGACGGGTGCCAAGGTTCGCGAAGAGATCTACCAGGCATTCGAGATGATCTACCCCGTGCTCCAAGACTTCCGCAAAGTCTGAGGCACCCGCAGCTCTACGACGATGAAACTGCATTACGATATTACGACACCTTCCCACCCACGCAACCATACCACCCAATACCCCACAACACCGCGCAGGAGGCGGCAGAGGGCATATCTGGCTCGTCTCGTCAGCAATGTCTCTCACCGCAACTTGCTTGTAACATTTTCTGCTTTCCCATTTCCCAGCATTGCATTGGCGTTCAGATCGGAGGGGTTCTACATTGGAGGGGATTCTAGGCGGACAAAAATCATCGGAAATTCCTCAATGGCTCTAAACGCAACATAGAGTTTTCACACCCACAGGTCAGACACACCTGTGGCGTGTTTCGACGACAGGACGGCGCAGGTTGTACGGATTGTCGTCACCTTAATGTCCTCGTCCATGGCGAGTAACAAGCCAGAGGCCGAGGGCGGGTGAGGATCGGAAGGGTCTGGGGGATACAGCCCACACCCCACAGGCTGCTTCGAACCAGCCCATGGCTGTGACTGTTGCTGGTCTCGGGCTTGTCGAGCACCGCGAGTCTGGAAGCGACAGGCCATCACAGGGGGCATGTTTTTTTGCATTCTATTGCACAGGGGACAGACAGAACGGGTTACGCTCACAGCGGAGTGTTATGGTCTTCCATGGCGTCCTTTGTGCGTTTGCCTGTAACTGCACAGGTCATCTGCCCATCTGGCGAGGCCCTGTTTTGTCTCTGCGTTGGGTGCCTTGCACCAACGAGATAGCTTTGAGAATGCCATAAAGGATGCGTTACCTGCGTACGGCCCGTCCCTCTCCACTGCTGTTCAGGCTCGTCGGGAGCCCGTCATGACGCCTTGGTCATTTCGTCGCTGAACAACAAGCCTGTTTCACCAGCTCGACTGCCATCTTGTGTCGAGACAGCATTCCAAGTGGTGGTGGTTGAGGGTGTGGTGGAGTGGAAAGCCCACTTGGTCTTGAACGCCTCTGGTCGTTCCCCCACGACGCAGTCAACGATTCGCTCTCCCAAGACAGGGAGGAACTAGCGATGATGACTTGTTAGTGCAAGACCAGACATGCAAACCACCATGTGACGTAGAGCAATGAATGTAGTAGAGTCTACCTTGAATCCGTGTCCGCTCCCTCCTGTGGCGATAAAGAGACCGTCCCAGTCGGGATGGTAGTCGATGATGAAATCACCAGTTGAGGTGTCGTTGTACCAGCAGACCTTGGTTTTCGCAAAAGGTCTGTCGTGGATCGCAGGCAATGGAACCATGTCCTTTAGGGCGGTGCGCAGCACCGCCTTGCTCCTCTCGGGTATTTCATGGAAGGCGTCCTCGACGTTCCTTGGCGGCAGGGAGATGGGGCAAGACGTAGCAGCAGCATCGTCCTCCGACCGGGCGGCGTCGGAAGGTGAGCGGAGCGGCTTCGCCGTCGTCGGGTTCAGGTAGCCGTACTCGTGCCGCGCAACCTTGAGCACGTTGTTGCGGGGAGGGATGACGAAGAGGCCGGAGCTGAGGTTCAGGATGACGGGCTGGGCAGCCAGGGCCGCCTGCTCCTCGTCAGTGATGTCCAGGTACGCGAGGGTCTGCGCCGTCGCGACCGCGCGCCCGCGCAGGTCTACCAGACCGCCAGTCCACGCCCCCGTCGCCAGGATGACCAGGTCGGCGGACATGTCGCGGCCGTCGTCGAGGGTCACGCCCGTGATCTTGCTGCCCTCGCGTGTGAGGGAGGACGCGGTACCCGAGACGAAGCTGATGCGGCCCGAGTCCTTGGCGTGGCGGAATAGCCATCGCATCGACTGGTCGGCGTCGGCCCAGCCAGAGGCGCGGTTGATGTATCCCCAAACGCCGCTCACGCCGCCGGTGCCGATTGCCTTGCGGATGTCGTCCTGCGTGGGCAGCAGTTGGATCTTGTCCTTCATTGCCCCATTACGTTCTGAGATGGCGACGACGTTTTCCCAGCTCGATCGACAATAGTCGGCGCCGGTCTTGTGGGTGGTTGGCTGCTGTAAGGTTGGCGCGCCGTCAGGCTGCGTCGTCGGGTCCCCGTCGGCGACAACGACCAGGCCGCTCTCGCTGTAGCGCCCCTGGCCGCCGAGCTGGTCCTCGCCCGCCTTGCGCCATTCAACCTGGGCCTCGGCGGCGAGGGCCGCGTAGGCGGGATCGGCATAGTCGGCACGTATTATGCGGGAGCTGTCGACGCTGGACGCATCGCGTGAGGGGAAGACGGCCGGGTCCGCCGACCGGTCGAGGACGGTTATGGGGCAGCCTGAAAATGCATGGCGTCTTGCGAGGGCGAGCGCGGTGCCCAGGCCAAAAACGCCGGCGCCGACGATGAGAATTGACGAGGAAGATTTAAATGTGTGCGGTGGTTTTGAGGAAGAGAAAGAGTCGGTGGCGGGTCTGGACATGCTGGGAAAAAAAAAAAAAAGGGTTGGAGTGAAAGAAGGTTTGGGGGATAAATGCGTAGGAAGTATATTAATAGCAAGCAAGGTTTAGGACGTCCGTGATCCGTCCGACGGCAGAAAAGGCAAGCCAAGAGGGTCTCCAAGGACAGGCGGTTTCACTTACTACAGCGGTGCAAGACGTCCAAGCTCGGACAGAGAAAGGGATGTGAAAGGGGCTCGCTCACTCTGGGTATTTCGCTTGAGGCGGGAATTGAATAGGTGTGAGTGAGTAGTGGGCGCTTTTGCCCCAGCCCACGGAAATAATGAAGATGTCTGGCGTGATTTTTCTTGTTTGTATTTGTTTTTGACCCCTCCAGGGTCTTTGTGCATTTGCCAAGAAACCCTTCCATGATAAATGGGAAGACCAGCGTCTGCAGTAATTTGACGGCGTGTGTCAGAGAGAATCATCCATGGCATCGTCCCAACGGTCCTCTGCGCGTGAGGTTTGGTGTATTTTTCGCAGGGCGTCTGTATGCTCTACATACTGGGAGTTTGTGAGGATGGTCGGGTGAATAGGGATAAATCATGGCCAGGAGGCGACACAAAGATACCATAGACAAATGATAGATGCCTAGGTACATCGGTACCTCACCCGGGTCGGACTTGGAATCCTCATCTCAGGAATGACAGTCGACCCGGTTTGATTGCTGTATTTACACTCTGCGGTCTGGCTACTGTATCTGCTTGGAGCTGAGCTCTGGTAAATTGAAAATGTCTCGGACATGAGACATAAACTTGACCAATGCCAGCATTCAGACTGGCTGCGACATCTGTGTGTGATGAATGCCATTTGCACAAGTCAAAGCCCGGCGCGACCGGGCAGGCACTAGTGGAGGAAGCACGCACGCACTTTGCCCCACTGCAATGTAGTGGGGAGAACTTGCCGTTCGTCAGCCCGCGAGGCGTGTTTGGTGGAGGTCAGTGCCGCCACAGCCAAATCCAAGACGCGGGTGAGCAGAGTCGACATTCGCTAGGGCATCCACGTAACACCAAGCCCGGCGCTCGTTTTGCGTTCGCCGGAATGCATGCCATCGCCCACCATGGCATCTTCCAAGAAGCTGGTCGAGTTCCCCGACGTTGAGGCGAAGCTGCAGAAGCCCGCCAAGAAGTCCGTTTTCGAGCGGCAGAAGGAGGAGGCCGAAGCAAAGCGCCAGCGCGAGGAGGCCGAAACCGCCGCCCTCCTCGAGGACTTCCGCAAGAGCTTCGACCGCGGCGGCGACAGCGACAGACAGCGCGACGGCCGATTCCCCGCTAACCGGACAGATAGGCCCGCAAGACTCGCCGACCGCCCGCTCGGCTTCGCTGGAGGCTCGGGGAAACGCCATTTCGGCGCGCAGGGCCTGAAGAGCGGCCCCGGCTCCCTGGGCCCTGCCCCGACGAGCTACGCCCGGAAGAGGCCGTTTGATGCCCCGCGCGGGGTCGAACGCGATGGCGCCGGGCGGGGCCGGGCGCCCCTTGACGAGGATGGCGGCTCGCGGTCGATAGCCAAGGCATTCGACACGAGCGAAGACGAGGCCGAGTCCATGGCTGTTGATCGGGCCGAGGAGAAAGCCGTGGCCAAGCCTACACTTCGGCTGTCAAACATGCCGCCCGCCACCTCCCCTGCCGTCATCAAGGCCCTCATCTCCACGAGCCTCGCCGTCGAGAGCGTCAAGATACTCCCCCCGGCCGGCGCCAGCGCCACCGAGCGCAAATCCACCACCGCCATCGTCACGCTCGCACCCGACACGCCCGCCACAGATATCGACGCGGCAGTCAGCGCATTGCAGAATCGGTACCTCGGCTTCGGCTTCTACCTCTCTCTCCACAGACACCTCTCGTCCGCAGCCATGACGGGAACACTTGTTGCGGCGCAATCGTCATCAACCTCGGGCTCTCAGCCTTTTGGCGCGAAGCCCGTGCCCAACCCTACCGGCAAATCATCCCTCCACCCCCCGGCCCATGGCCGTGGCTTTGCGCCCCCAACATCATACAACAAGGCTGCAGGTGGGCAGGCTAGCCGTGCTGGCATTCTACATGTCCCCGTGCGCCCTCCGCGAGACATCAAGCAACTACGCACAATACACATGGTTGTCGAGGCTGTGCTGAAAAGCGGGCACGAATTCGAGGCACTCCTGATGTCCAGACCAGAAGTGCAGCGGGAGGAGAGGTGGGCATGGATATGGGACGCTCGCAGTGAAGGCGGGGTCTGGTACCGCTACCGGTTATGGGAGGTCATGACGGGAGCCACGGCACAGCGTGGCCGAGCCAAATTCATGCCGCTATTCGAGGGTAGCAGCGCCTGGAAACTCCCCGAACAGCCGCTCTCATACGAGTACACGACGGGCGTTGATGAGTTCGTGTCCGACTCGGAGTACAACTCGTCCGACGATGACGAGTTCGACCTCGACCCCGGCCGCGCTGGGGACGCGGCCGCTACAGCGAACGAAACCGAAGAGACGCTGCTGAGCCCCCTCGAGAAAGCCAAACTGACCCACCTCCTCGCGCGGCTTCCGACCACCATGGCCAAGCTGCGCAAGGGGGACGTTGCGCGCGTGGCCACTTTCGCAATAACCCATGCAAGCCGAGGTGCGGAGGAGATAGTCGATCTCATCGTGTCCAACGTCGAACACCCTTTTGCCTTCTCGCCGGCGAACCCTGAACACAAGGACATGAAGGGCCAACAGGGGGTCGAGCCAACAGGCCCATCGACGAGCCCAGACGACAAGCGGCCAGCAGAGCCACAGGATACCAACACCGCCAAGGTAATCGGTCTGTATGTGATCAGTGACATTCTATCGTCCTCGTCCACAAGCGGCGTCCGCCATGCTTGGCGTTATCGTCAGCACTTCGAGACCGCTCTGAGGGGTCGCAAAGTCTTTGAGGGGCTCGGGATGGTCCCCAAGAAGATGAAATGGGGCCGACTCCGAGAGGACAAGTGGAGGCGCAGCATATCTCTGATACTGGACCATTGGGAGGGGTGGTGTGTTTTCCCCGTTGAAACCCACACCCTCTTCGTTCAGAGCTTTGCGAACCCGCCCGCGTTGAAAGAGGGTGGCAAGGAAGGAGAGAGTGGGGAGGGCGAGGACGAGGCCAAGGTCGACGAGGCGCCCAAGAAGGGAAGATGGAAGACTGTGGATGCGGTGAGCAAGAAGGCTACCGATGATGATACCAAGAATTTCAGGGCGACAACACCACTCGGCGTTACCCCAGCTGCCGGTCTGGATGGCAAGGAAGACTTGGAGGATGAGCCGTATATGGAGTACACGGACGACGAGGACCTTGACCTCGAAGTCCTTGCCGAGGAGGATATAGACGGAGAGCCACTGGTTGAAAGCCAGATGGCCGGGCTTTCCATGGAGGAAGGCCAGGACGCGGACATGGCTGACACTGCTCCTCAGTCCTCGGAGCCGGTAGTGGCACCCCCACCCATAAAGACGGTCGGCGGGTTCCAAATGGCGGCATCCGTGGTAAACCCAAAAAAGCGGGTGAGGGCGATTGACATGTTTGCGGGCCCGGACTCTGAGAATGAGTAAAGGGCACTCAAGAATCGAACAAGGCATTGTGAAGAAACAGCGCCGGCAACGAAGCTAGATGTGACCTTTGAGGTTGCGCTGTGCCGAGAAGAGCAGGCCGTAAGAGCAGGCTGTAGCGTCACGATGACGCTATGGATGGAGACCTTATCGACGAGATCAACACGGGCCAGATGGGTGTTCCTTGCCGCTCATTTCCACATGGCCCTACCGGGCTGTCTTCAATGATGGGGGTAGACGGACAGGGCGGCATGAGATCGCCAAGAGATCTCCCTCTAGGGCCATGTGCATGGATCTCCGGCGGAGGGGTCACGCCGTTTCCGAGCACGATGAGGATGAGGACCCCTCGCCTGCCCAAGGCAGTTTCCAGGTACCCAGATGAGGGGGCCGGCGGTTTTTAGTTTTATCTCTTGAGTGTATGTAGATAGATACCCAGACAGACAACGCATGCTTTTCAGTCCTGGCCCGTAGTACATACAGTTGGCTCAAAAGGACGGCCTTCAGCAATCGGTCAGCCAATCCGCGAGCTACTGTGCCTTGGGCTGTCGGAGCATCCAAAACAGGCCTACCAAGCCGGACTGGTAGGCGGCGTTGGTCTCTGACTCGGCTCCAGAGCCGGCTGACACCGGATCAATTGCGTGCGCTGACCGGTTCTGTGGTCATTGATCATGGTGTGATTCTTGGCCATTTGCGGTTAATGAAACTCTGACTGGTCCTTTTCTTTCAGCGACGGGTATTATTATAGAGGAAGCGATATTATACATCTAGCTGGGGAGGTGTCTATCCAGGTACCACATGGGATTTGTCAGATATCGAGCTCGGCTGCAGCTAGTATCACGCATGTTTGTTGGTGGTAAGGTGGGTGGCACTGGTGGGAGCCCTGGGTGCGTTTTCTTTGGCCTCAACTGGACCAGACCTGGAGCCTTTGGCCCTCCAGCGCGTATTGAAGCCCCAGACCCCTGCAACCACCTCGCACCCCCACACACATCAGCCGTCCGAGGTGTGTGCAGCACGAGCCCGAGCCCGCCCGCCCTCAACTGCTGGCTCCATTTCCCGTGTCAGGACCCACCCGTGCTCATCCAGACCTCGATGGCCAATGGAAACTTGCTCATGGTGGAAACACGGACAAGGCACAGGAGAGATACCCTAACGAGGGGGTGGGTAGCAGAATGGCCAAAACCATAAGGAAAAAAAAAATGGAAGAAGAGGCAGTGAGGTAGAGAGGGAGTTGTACCTTTTTGCGCCATCTGCTGCAGTTGTTTACCTCCATCATTCATCCACCGACCGAGACGTGGTACCTGGCCTGAGCCAACGGCCTAGCCCAGCCAAATCACCAACCAGCGTCACCGGGGCACCCTCGCGGCCGGTCGAGCCATCCAACATCCGACAACTAATATATGGGATAACAGAGCGTGGCCGGGCTGGCGGCTGTGGTCTTATCAAATACCTAAGCCCGTTGCTCCAACGAGCGAGGAATAGGTCTCTCCAGCACACGTGGGACGGGCTCTTCCCTTTGCGCTTCCTGAATAGGACGGAGTACCTTTCTTTGCCTCCTCAACAAGCCCATTGGATCCTCGACTTGGCTTTTCCCGCGTCACAACCCACGTCGCAGCACCCGCACCGTTAGCACATGTTGCTGCTGCACCACTCTTGTCCTTCCCCTTGGCTGTCGGCCTAGGCTCAGCCGAGTGTGACCCCCTCACCTGTCGGGGGATTTCCACGCACTCGTCTCGCCGCCCACGTTGTTGGGGCGAAGATCCCAAGATAGAGAGAGAAAGAGAGGGGGTGGTCCCGGTGCTTCGTCCAGGTTTAGCATACCTCGCTCACCTGCACCCCAGGCGAGTTGCCTTCTACGCCGCCCAATACCTCCCGCCTGCCTTCTCAGGTACCGCTCTGCTTCCGCGGTACTCCCTGAACTTCAGACAGCGTCTCGGGTCCATCTGAACCCAAGCCCCATTCTGTCCACGGACCACAACATTGGTCATATTTGGGACTGCCTCCTGCTGCCGTTACCAAAAAAAAAAAAAAAAAAAACCGGTGGTGCGCTGCTTGAGCTACCCCTCGGCAGAGCCTCCCCGTCCCATCTTTACCAGGAATAGGCGCCGTCTTGACTTGACCGAACGGTCTGGCTGCTCATGTCATTGATGCGACCCTGCACACGCCGAGCATACTTCGCATGCCTGGCCTGATTCATCACGGACTCCCGATCCAACACCATCACCGCGGCTTCAGCTCCTCACAACACGTATTTTCCCACATTTAGTCCAAACCTCTTCACTACGAACTCTCGCTGTCCGCGGGAGGCCCCCAGACGCGAGGCCGCCGTCGTCGCACAGCCCGAATCTGCGACACGCCGGCACGCGCGGGCGCATTGTTGGAGAAATTGGGGTTGCCTTGTCTCGGACTTCGAGGCAGCGGCCCCTTTCCGTGAATCAGTCGACAGGGCTAGACCGAGGTACACCGCCCACCGGCGCCTTCTCTGGCCCATGAAGACATTCTCGCCCGAGATAGCGTCAGGATGCCGATAATCAACGGCTTGAAGATGGCTTGGTGAGTGTGTGTGTGAGTGACCAAAGACAGCGTCCCGCTGCGGCTCTCGGTGCCTCATGCGCGGTTCGGGCGGGTATCTGGTTCATCCTACCCAAAATACATCTGCGCCCCCATCCCATACCCTTGCCTAGTCGGGATGCCGCTCGCGCGCTGCATTCCTGCTGTCATTGGGCTCATCACCCAGCTCCTCTCCTACTTGGACCTGCGAGTAGACCTGGGCTGGAAATGCTAACATGTGGTCCCAACTTGGGATACAGTGAGCCTTGCATACGTGGGCATCGGTCTACAAAATGCACACATGCCAAGGAGCGCCTCATGGTACCGGTCCGCAAGCCGGGTCGGCCATTGAGCGTATGCCCACACCCGCCAGGCCGACCATGCGCATGCGGCGGCATCACGGCGGCCATACCGCGAGCGCAGAAGTGCGGCTGCGGCCCCTCGGATGCGGCACCGGCCCCGGAGCCAGCCCCGCCCGAATCCCCGGCCCTCAAGGGCTCCATGTCCCCGACCAGGCGAACGTTCCAGATCCAGAAGACCACCAAGGCCGCGGCCCGGAAGCAGTCCTTGGACGTCGCGACGCTCGGGAGGATGGATCCCGAAAGCTACAACATACACTCGGCGCCGCCCTACAGAACCCCCATCCTCCCCAGGATACCGCCCCTAGGCGGTAGCGACAAAGTCCTCTCCCCGACGGCACCCGGCCATTCGCTTGACTATCATCTGGCCGCGCTTCCCGGGACGCTTGATGAGCCGACTGTGGCAGCGAGCTTGGATAATGTAGCGGACTATCCGTTGCCGCGGCAGATAATCGGCCGTCTGGCCATACCCTCTTCAGCCATCAAACACGAGACGCCAAGGGCGATTGTCGGTGCGGCGACCAACGGGTCGTACTTTGAGGATTTTGGCGCGAACGCGGACGAGGCTGGATATGGAGCGGATGCCACCATTGATGGAGCTGGCGCAAGCAAACCGACCACCCCCGCGGCGACACCCAAGAGCTGCTGCGGAGGCAAGGCGTCATCGACGAGAGTCAATGGAAATGGGAACCTAAAGCCACCACAACCCACTGTCATAACCGCCGCGCACCAGCCACTGGGACACTTCGGACAGCATGTCCCGGCGACGAGTGGGGGCGGCCTTGCAAACGGGGCGGCAGCACTGAGCCACCCGATGGGCGTTGCGGGCGCCCCAGTGATGAGCCCATTCCAATCACCGGTCATGCAGCCCATATTCTTCACACACTCGGCCGACCCGGCCATGTACATCTACCCACCTTACTACGGCACATACCAGCACCCTATACAGCCTCCGCAGTGGAGACAGGTGCTGCCACCTCCCGGAGGGCTGGGCTATGCGTTCCCTGCGGGCCATGCGCCCGCTCACATGGGCATGCGTGCGCCGCAGGCGCCGGCCATAGGCCTCGGAGCCGGCGACGACGGGGGAGGGTTTGAGGGCATGTCGCACCACTGCACCTGCGGGGATGCTTGCAACTGCCTCGGCTGCCCGGCCCATCCGTACAACGAGGTTACACAAGACTACGTCCGATCGGCCATGAACATAATGACGGAGGAACCGCCGCGAGGGGAAGGAAGGAACCCAAGGGGCGCGGCGGAGGTGTCAAAAGCACCAGCTTCGACAGCGCCGGCAAGGGTGGGAGGAGGAGGAGGAGGAGGGTGTTGCGGCGGCGGCGGCGACCAGACATTGTCGGCCGCGGCCACAGAAGCCGTGTCCCCCACCGCGGCGCAGGTCCAGCAAGGCGCGGGCGGTGCGGGGGCAACAGAACCAGCGGTGTCTTCACCACCGCAGGCGCAGACGCCGTCCGAGGCGTCGGCGGCGAGCGAGGACCAGATGCACCTTTCAGCGAGCGACTTCCTCTTTGTCACGTACCCGTTCGGCTGCGAGGGCGAGACGGCGAGCTGCCTGTGCGGCGACGACTGCCAGTGTGTGGGCTGTCTGATCCACAGCCACCCTTACGCGGACGGCTGATGAGGCGCAAATATGGGGAGCGCCGGCACGGAAAGATGTTGGACCTGGCGGTGCCAACTATGACGTCTGCATGAGGCTGCTTGGAGGGTTTTTGGGGGGAAGGCTGGGATGCTAACGATGGACAGTATGATGAATGATACCCCTGGGTTTGGGAGTCGGTAATACGGCTCAGTACACTTATATATATCTGTAAAAACAGTGCCCCCAATTCTGTCTTGCTCTGCTAGCAAATTGGTAGACGCGTGCTGTTTCTGTTTGGCAAATGCTGCGATGGATGGATGCCATTTCAGCGGACAAACTGAAGGGGCCAGACCCCTGTCCGAGCAACCAAGAAAGCTTCTGGACCCAGTAGCCCTGCAGCCAGCCCCATCAGGTGGGGGCCAGCTGAGTCGTAGCGCGCTGGTGATTGGCCCGAGGTATTGAGTAGTTCCGGTTGCTTCAAAAAGAGGCCCCGCTAATGTTAGTTTAGGCGGCCGGCCAAATCGCGAACTCACGACATTCCAAAAAACTCGCGACGGGCTGATTTGCCCCCCTTTATTCCACCTTTGCCAACTCCCTAATCCCCCGTTATATAGCGAAATAATCACACGAACTGGATATCCTGGCCTCTCGACATAGCTTTCTCTCTCTTAGACCGGCCGGCGACTGACAAGAGCGAACGGAAATCGGAGTTGCAGCAAGCCCGACGCTACTCGCGCCGAGCTTGGCCGTATAAATCCAGGACGCAGGTCGCCTCGAGTAATCGCGGGACGGCTTCTGTCTCCGGTATCTGACTCGCTCTACCGGCCACATCTGTCTTCTGGGGCTATCGGCGGGAGCCGTTGAAAGGCACTTGCAGAAGCCAGCGAGCAATTCACGGGTCAGCGAGAGCTGAGCCATGCCTACTGCCAAGGACGGCGACAGGAGGCGGTCAAGGTCACCCGTCTCGCGCCCGAGACGAAACCACGGCAGCGGCCGCGACGATCGCGACAGAGACGATCGCCGCCACCGCTACCGCGATCGGGATCGGGACCGGGCTGGGGACGCGGACAGCCAGTCCAGAGACCGCCGACGGCAGGACGGCGAGTCGTCCTCGCGCCCCCACAGGCACCGGTCCAGCAAGCGGCCACGGAGCACGTCTCAGTCGGGCCGGCGCGATCGGAAATCCAAGGAGGAGGGCTCTCGCTCCCGCCCGAAGCGCCCGGCGAGGCCGACCGCGGCGTCCATGATGGGGCCGGCCGCCGCCGCCGACGACGACGACGAGGACGACGAGCCGGCCGCGGGGGGAGAGGATCCTGCCATACGACGCGCGCGCGCTGTCGCGGCACGACTACACCGTCTTCCGGCCGCTGTTCGCGCACTACCTCGACCTGCACGCGCAGACGGACATCCACGGCCTCGGCGAGCGCGAGCTGCGGCACCGCTGGAGGTCCTTTGTCAAGCGCTGGAACGCGGGGAAGCTGTCCGAGGGCTGGTACGAGCCCGAGATGTTCCAGCGCGTCGCGAGCATGTGGGTCGAGGAAAAGGCCGGCGGTGTTGACGGCAGCGACGAGGACGACGGCTACGACAGGCCAGCCGTGTCGGGTGATGACCGCGGAGACAGCCCGGCCGTAATCCCGGGGCGGCCTGCCGCAGCCGGCGCCCACGGGACGACGTCTCGAGCGCTCAAGGCGACGTCGAAACGCAACGGCACGAGCAGCGACGACGACGGCGAAAGCGACGACGACGACGGCTTCGGCCCGCCGCCGCCGCCGCCCGGGGGAGCAGCCCCAGCGCGAGGCAGGGCGTGGCCGGCGTCGAGCACGCGACAGGGGCCCGGGATACCGACGACGCAGGACCTGGAGGAGCGGCGGGCGGCCGACGACGAGGCGCGACAGGCGGAGCGGCGGGCCGGGGCGCTGGCGCGGCGGGCGGACCGGGCGGAGCAGAAGGAGCGGCTGGACGAGCTGGCGCCCAAGGCGGACGCGGGCACGCGCGAGCGGCGGCTCGAGAAGCGGCGCGAGCTCAACGACAAGCTGCGCGGGTTCCGCGAGGGCTCCGCGGGCGCGGCCGACGTGGGCGACGGCGAGCTCATGGGCGGCGGGGACGGCGCCGACGACTTCCGCGCCGCGCTCGCGTCGCAGCAGCGCAAGAAGACGGAGCGCGAGCTCCGCCGCGAGGAGGAGGCGCGCGCCCGCGCCGAGGAGCTGCGCAAGCGGCTGCAGAACTACCACGCGCGCGAGGACCGCGTCGTCGGCGCGCTCAAGGAGCTGGCCAAGCAGCGGTTTGGGTGACGAGTTGTGGTTGGGGTGTAGACGAGGCGAGTGGGGGATTTTACATGGCGTCCATTGCCTTTGACCATCTTTTTATTGTTTCACGGCTCATCTAGCGCTCTCCAAGTTTCTTGGCTTAACCACGACCGCAAAGGCACAGGATAGAAATACATACAAAACGGGTTCAATATATCTACCTGGTAACCTACATACTTACCTACGGCTTGCCCGCGGACTTTGTCTGCGGGCCGAGTTGCAGACATGTCTTCGAGGTGGTCAATAATCTCCATGCCCACGGCTGGGTGTTCGGATAGGGAAATCTCAAGTTCAACCGGTAGGTATTCCATTCCAAGGTGTTATATATAGCCGCTCGGCTTTGGCACAGCTAACAACCAGAGCAGCACATTGGGCACGTTTTATACTGCCCAATTCGCGGCCCAAAAGAGCAGGCGTCGGCCACTTCACAAAGCTCCCCTTGCTGGGCCTATGCCGCCACGCGGGCCCGCGGCTTGCAGCCTAACCTGCCCGACGCCACGATTCAAGAGCTGGCCCTCTCGACCCTCCAGCAGACCATTTCGCGCTTTACGAGCAGAGGTCCCCGAAGTGCAGCCCTACTGTTGAAGCCAGGAGGTTTGACCAGGACAGGGCCGAGCCGTGGACCCGACAGGCTCTGCTCGTCATGGAGCCGTACGTAAGCAAGGTGGACGGCGACTGGCCCGCCTCGGAAGAGGAACGCGGCCGACTGTTTCACAAGGTTCTTGTGGAAAACGGGCAGTTATTTGGCTGGGTATGGATCACGCCGTGCCGCCGCAACGAGTTCAACTTCAAGTTGAAATATTGGCCGAAAGAAAAGAAAAGCAGTGATGCAGAAACAGGTTGAAAGCGCCGGGGAATATTTGCAATAGCCACAGGGTGACCCTGTGGATCTGACCTATTCCAATATCAACATCCACTTTGATACTTGGCACATGCTTAGCTTGCATCACCAACTCTCCTTCTCAGGCACAAGTACAAACGTGCCCTGGCATCCCTTCCCGCAGTATATACCAGTGCCTCCACAGTACCCCCACTCGGAGCAACAACGCCAAATCCAGACCCAGCGCAGGTCGAGTCGTCGTTCTCGCTCGTTGGGCGCAGGTGCCCCGTGTCCAGCTACCCAGGTTGGGACCTGGACATGATGAATCAAAGGGTAGACACAATCAGAAGTAGCAGCAGCAGCAGCAGCAGCAGCAGCAGCGGCGGATGCCCTTTCATCATAGATCTAGCTAATTCATTCTGCTACGGCGTGGCTTCTATTGTCCTGGCCGGTTTCACTCTGCCATGTTCCAAGCTGTAGATTTGCCCTCTCGAGGAGGGATCAAGTCCTGATCGTGGGACCGTTTTCGATTCCTTCGCTGAGTTAGGCTCTTGTGCAGCCCTACTTTTTCAAGATTATTGGGCAAGCTGCCTTAAACCGTTACAGCTGCCACTGTTCTAACAAGTCGCTTTATAAACAAACAGGCCCAAAGTATCGCAAGCTTTATATTCTATCTCTCTTTACCTCTCGTTACCTCTCCTTACCTCTCTTCGCCCTAAATTTATTTCCCACCACCGCTGCCACCACCACCACCACTACCACCGCTACCGCCACCAGTACCACCGCCACTGCCGCCACCAGTACCACCACCACTACCGCCGCCTCTACCACCACCTCTGCCCCCAGCACTAGTGCCCCTGCCCCCCGCACTAGTGCCCCTGCCTATGCCCCCAGCGCTAGGGCCCCTGCCTCCGGCATGAGAGCTTTCGCCCCGGGTACCGGAGCCTTCCCCATAATTCGGCCTCTTGCGACGGCGCTCCTCGCTCGGGCTGGGAGGCGAGTGCGGGATCGATCCCAGGGTCCTGCCGCGGGGCTCCTCCTCCGCCTGGGCGGCATCGCCGTCAGTCTTCTTCTTCTTCTTCTTGTCGATAGACAGCTCGGACAGGTCTTTCGCGGCAGAGTCGGGCGTCCACTGGCTCACGTCCTCCCCTTCCCACCCGGACGCCTTCATCAGGCTCTCGAACGCCTCTATCTCCTCGAGCTCCTTGAGCTTGTCCGCGCTCTTCTGGGGCGTATTATTCGTCGACAGCTCCGCGGGGACCTTGGCCCGTCTGTTGGGTTCGGGCTGATGGAGGGTGTTCTTCGCGAGCGTGACGCCCAGGCCGTGTTCCTGCATGAACTCCAGAAACTCGCCCTCCGTGGTTGGCTTGGGGCGATCTCTAGCTACTATATCCGAACCTACCACATAGTCTTTCAAACCGGTGGTGTCGAGCATTTTCTTGACGTGCTCGCCGCAGCCGAGTCCCCTAGCTTCATCCAGACAGGGTGAGTAGATCACGTTGCGGGTCGACCAAACCACCATTATTGGACCGTTTTTTTCGACAGGGGGCTTATACCACCCGTTTTTGCTGTTGTAGCCGGGATCCTTGGCTTCGTGTTCAAACGCGCCCGGCTCCGCGCACGCACCGTAAAGCCTGTGGTTTTGGTGATTCCCTAAACATTCGCTCAAGGCAGCGCCTGTCGCGCCCTGTTTGGAGACGGCGTCTTTTAGCTTCTGCATTTCGGTGCCTGTCTCGAAAGCGGTCGCCGAGGTCGAAGCAACAAACGTATCCGGCCCGGTGCGTTTCAAGGCCAGCGTGTTTGGCATCTTCTGCATTCTGACTCTCCCGACGTCCCGGAGCCCGCTCCCGAATGAATGAGCTTGCCAGAGGAGATATTGCGCAAGTGTAACCCAGAATCTGTCTAGGTCCGCTTTGAATTGGTTGTCGGGCTTGTACTTCCCCGTTATAGCCTTGGCGTAGCCGGTAAGCTGGAAGTGTGTAGTGAGCCTGAAGAGTTCGACCTCCTGTTCGACAGCGCTGCCGGGTAATGTGACCTTGGGAAAAGGATCGAGCTGGAAGCCAAAATGGTAGGGTCCGATCGGTTTTCTTGGCTCCAGCTTCTCCACGACCACGTTGCCGTTGGCAAAGGTCCCAATATTTGCCTTTGGTGGCGGCGTAGTGGGGGGCGCGACACCGGCCGGTGGCACTTTTCCTTTTGGGGGTGGTGTAGTAGGGGGCACGCCGCTGGTCGAAGACCCTTCCCCGCCCGGTACTCCCGGAGGCAGTGGTGCCCCGAGAGCCAGTGACAGGAGGGCAAAAGCCACGCTCAGGACGACAACAGGGGGCTTCATCTTGAAGACGGGGTGTGGGAGGTCTGAGTTTGTATGTCGTGCTTCTGGTCGTAGGCTAGCCGGCAAGTACACGGCCTCAAGATGGCTGGATCGTGGAACTGTAAAAGGATGCGATATCTGGATGCGTTGCGAGTGAAAAGAGGGAGAGTAAAAGGAAGTATGGAGAATTTCAAGCGGCTGACGATGTTGGAGATGCTGTCAGGTGGTTAAAATTGCTATGGTAGAAGATGTTTCCGAGTAACTGAAGATGCTGATGTGTGGATGAAGATGGCATCTTGTGCTATTCGTCGATGGCGTCGACTTTGTGTTATATATCCGCCGAAAAGCCCCTAAACCCAAGGTCAGCATCACGATCGATTCCTAGAGATCACATGAGCAGTACTGCCAAAGCTCCAGTCCAGAAACCAACAACCGTGATACAATCAGCATTCTGACAAACGCCAGAACCAACAGCCATGGGTTGCACTCGCTACCCTCAGCGCTGAGCCACTGACGGGCGTCGAGCGCAACATCGTGCACTCAGCCTGCTTCCCAACAGACCGGAACCTGCGCTATTTATAGAACCAAGCTGCCAATTTGGTAGCACCCATGGGTGGATCTCCTATCGCCTTCTTGGGCAACGGGCAAAGACGCACCCAGGAATTGGAGGACGGGCCGACGCGGGTCTAGCGATTTAGTAAGTCCAAACAACAAACACCAACAGACCATTCTATTTCAAAGGGGGCGATGAGATGAGTGGTTTCCATTGGTGATTGGGATGAAATCGAATCTCCCAAGCCCTCACTGCTTGGCATGTGTCTGGGAATCCACCTCGCTCGGAACAATTTGCACGCCTGCCTTGCGCAATTCGTCCAGCAGCGAATACCCGGCCTCTTGCTGGAATGTCTCCTCTACGGTCCTGCCCCGATCGTCTCGGATGTCAAGACGGGCACCCCGTTCGATCAGGATACACGCAGCTTCCACGTAGGTCTCGACGCGGTGTGGGTAGTTCAACGTGGTATCTGTATGATCAGCTTCTCGAGCGAGGAGGTGCAGCGCCGACCTTCCGTGGCGGTCGACAGCATCCATCTCACCAAGCCTTTGGCATGCTTCAGCTAGGAGGCGAATACAATCCATGAAGTCGTCCTTGGTAGGAGGTGGGTAGTGTCTGGCGCAAATGCCGTTGATTTGGTTGAATAAGGGGGTTTCGCCGAGATGGTTGCGTGCTTTGGGATCGACGCCGGCACTGAGGAGTAATTTTATGATTGCTGGTGATTCGAGGCTGTAATGTACTAAGAGGTCGAGAAGTGTGTCAGTGGTCAGGCATCTATGTAGCAACTCGAACCGGTCATGACAAGAGGCTAGATGGCTTACGAGCGTTATTACCATCACAATGGCAGTTGATATCCGCCCCTGCCTCCAATAGCAACTTGATGACGTCGGGGTCAGAGATGGTACGGCAAGCCTCCAGCAGCGGGGAAACCTCGTCCGAGTATGAGGGGTTGGTATGGCAATTGACGTCTTCACCGGCATCGAGAAGCACCTTGATGATCTCTGGACCTGCCCTCTTCCTACAGGCAGCGACTAGAGTCGAGTTTTTCAAGGGGCCGCTGTCTGTGCCGACCCCGTGCTCTAGCAGCAGCCGTGCCAGAACTGCGTTATTATTATGGACCGCAACCTCAAATAGGGTGTTGATATCCGGTACGTCCTTGAGAGCTCCCCCGGGACCCAGATCGCGGACGAGGTGTGAAACCAGGAAGCGGACCATTTTAGAACGCACTTTTGCGGCTTTTGACCCGTGGTGGCATGACTTGCTTGCTGCTGCTGTGAAAATCGCTTTTAGACCATTGTCGATATCACGATGGCCCTGCTCCTCGATTAGAAATTCCAGGGCTTCGGAGGATCGATAACTGCGAGCCGCTTGACGAAGGTTCAGGGAGTGATCGTTGGACAGCAAAGCACCGCGCCTCATCAAATGCTTCACAATTTTGGCCGAGCCAGTTTCTAAAGCGTCAAACATCTATATTTGGGGATTAGAATTGCGATTTATCTCGGGGTGGGATAAAAGCGTAGCACGCATACCAGGCGATTCAGACTATACCAAGGGGACGGCTCATTAATATCCAGACCACGGTCTAGTAGCATGTCAACTACTTCGATTGTCGCCTCGGGTTCGCGGTCGGGACCTATCGCCAAGAAAGTCGCAATGCCATAGTCCTGCCGGTCGTACCAATGAGCATGGGCATCGGCGCCAGAATCCAGCAGAAACCGGACCATGGCGGGGCTGCCGGACTTGACCGCCAGATGGAATGGCGTGAGCGCGCCACCCATGAAACCTTCGCAAGCTTCCAAATCAGCACCGAGAGCGATTAGGAGCGTGACCATGTCGAAATGACCGCCATCAACGGCGGCATGTAGCGGCGTCCAGCTGATATCAGAGCCGGTGGGGATGTGAAGCATGTTGATGTTGATTTGCTCGCGAGATTGCGCTAGGGTTTCCAGTGCAGCGTTGAGTTGGTAGATATCTCCATCACGAGCGGCGTTGAACATTTCACGCAGGTGCTCGTCGTCCCTGTCCGCCCTCGGCCGAAGGCGTTCGCGGCGGCTGAGGTTGCGCAGCCAAGGTAAGTATGCCATGATTTCCAAAAGTGGCGCAGGGAGATAAAACGTCAAGGTAGAGTGTTCTGGAATGGCTGCGTCTGCTTGAAAGTATGGAGAAATATAGGTAATCGTCGCGGGTCCAAGATTGAAGTTAGTGGGATGGGTGCTGTCACACGGGTGGGCAAAGGCACAGCACAAAGGCTCGATATTTACTCCAAACGACAAGAGCCCGCGGTCACGTGATTGGGAGGACCGTGCCGGAGCGACTGTCCGTAAGGCCGAATTTTATGCTATCTGTGGGATGCATAACGTGGTTTACAAGCGAGTGCCACACACAACCCAACTTCATCCACGAATATCTCCACAACAAGCAATGGCAAACACAAGCGACGAACGCAATATTGTTCTGGCATGAACACTGGGGAATCCTCGGTGTTGTATGGTTTTTTTTTGGTTTTTTTTGGTTTTTTTTTGGTTTTTTTTTTGGTTTTTTTTTGGGTTTTTTTTTTGGGTTTTTTATAACTCTTCAAGTCTTGGGTTGGGATGCTGGCCGACGAGATTATGGGGGAAGATGCAGGGAGACAATTATAAGGGGGAGAGGATAAGGGGTAAGTATAAAGCGGGGCTTGGAATTATGCTTAATCCCAACGAGCAACTGCGATAGTTTGCAAATTGAACACCAGGGAGGTATATAAACCGGTGTTGTGCCTTTTGAACTTCCGCCACGCTAGACCAACACGCCTTGTCCAACGCCGACGCAGTCCCGCTTTGCCCCCGGCTGACGAGGAGCAGCAGCTAGTCATCCAGGGGTATAGGAGCATCGTAGGTGACCATATCGCCGTCGTCGTTGTCTTCCATCCTTATTCCTACGTGGCCGTCGTCGTCGCTATCGTCGCTGTCGCTGTCGCTGTCACTTTCGGCGCCGTCTGCCGGCTTGCCGCTCTTGCCATCACCGCTACCGTTGCTAGCAGGCCGTGGGAGGACCGGGAGCGGCGGCATGGGGTTGGCCTTGGTCTCGCTGGGCGCCGCGGTTGGCAGCTGCGGCGTGCTGGCCGGGGCCCGGGCGAGCGGGGCGCTGCCGGGAAGTTGCCGGGTCTGTGGCTGACCCTGGTCCATGTGCGCCAGCGCCGCCATGGGGTCCAGCTGCTGCATCAAAACGTCTGAGTTAGACCGTGGGGCCGCGGGGCGGGCCTGTCTGCCGGCCGCGGGCAGGCCGGACAGCAGCGACTTGGGCTCGGGCGCCACGGCGGCGTCGTTGTCGTCGAGGTCGATCAGGCTCCCCTGCCTGGCGCTCCCGTCATCGTCCCGCAGCTCGATGACCTCCTTGTCCGTCTCTATGGGGCCCTCGCCGCCCTCGACGTCGGGGAAGCCGCAGCGGGCCAGGATCTTGGCGATCAGGTCCGGGTAGCGCAGGTGGCCGCTCACGGCGTCGCTGAGGTCCAGGTTCTCGACCCCGTCGATGCCCTCGACGGCCTCCAGGCCGGCCACGCCGAGCTGGATGCTGGTGGCCCTGTAGACGAAGGCGAGGATGAAGTCGTTCTCCGAGTAGGCGTTGAACAGCTTCCCCGACACCACGCTGCGCATCTCCTCCCACTGGGCGCGGTCCGCAGGGACCGGGGCGCCGATGAACACGGCCTGATCCACTAGGCCGAATGCGCGGCGCTCGGCCAGCGAAATGAGGCAGGAGTGTATCACTCTCGCCCCCAGTGAGTATCCAATCAGGGTCACTGGTCGCTCGCCCTGAACTTTGTTGATGATGGCGTCAGCCAGCACCCTGCCGGCCTTTTCGGACCGGTTGCGCGCTCGGTTGAAGGGGTTATCCAGGGTAGAGGCGACCTTGAGCAGCTGCAGTGGCCACATGGCGGCGTATAGCGCCGCCAAGGCCGTTCGCTTGATGATTTCGACTTTGATAACGCCCCAGGTGTAGGAGTCGATCAGGTCACGCAAAGCGGTGCCGAGGCTGAGCAGGCTGTCGATCTCGTACTGGAGGGCAAACACCTCGGTATCGGCCCCCAGCACACGCCAAGGTTTGACTATATCATTCCTGGATGAGAGCCAGCCGTTGATACCAATGGTAACGCGGAGCCGTCGAGAGTCTTTGTCCTCTTTGGAGTACTCCTTGCCCCATGCCTCATTCAGCGGTATGAAGCGAAAGTCCTCCACCTCACGGGCGTATTGGTCCATCATCTCACCCTATATCATATGGATGGGTTAGAGGAGTAGATCGTGGGCAAAGGCAGCAAGCACACTTACCGTCATTTTCGCACCATAAGCCCCAAACAAGGCTCCTACAAGTGCGCTGTTCATCCAAAATATCCCAAGAAACGAGGCCAAACTTCCGAGGCCGACACTGCCCATGATGCCGCCGATGGCGCCGGCGACGAGGGGCGCGGCCAGCCCGCCCGTGATGCCGATGACGGCGGCGCCGGCGACCGAGGCCAGGCCGACCTTCCAGAAGCGGCTGGCCTGCCCCTCCTGGCGGCGCTTCTGGGCCTCGGCCTCGGCCGTCATGGCCTGCTGCTGCCGCCGCTTCTCGGCCTCGTCCGAGGTGGACGACTCGACGAGCGAGCGCGCGATCTCGGCCTCCTCGCGCGCCAGCACCGCGGGCGCGAGGTCGAGGGCGGAGGCGAGGTAGACGGCCAGGGTGCGCGAGAGCGCCGTGTACGCGCCCGTTGAGAGCATCATGACCAGGAGGCAGCTGAGCGCCTCCTCGCGGTCCTCGCGCGGGACGGTGGTGAGGCGGGTCGGGATCGGGTGGTACAGCTTCTGGAACGCGGCCAGCTCGGGGCCATGGTCGCCAGCCGTGGCCGTGGCCGTGACCGCAGCCGCAGCTGGCTCATCAAAGTCCAGCAGGTTCTCGCCTTGGCGCGGGGTGTCGGCCCTGGCGCGCTGCAGACGGGCCTGGCGCTCCTGCCGCGCCTCGGTGATCTTGGCGTCATCCGGAGCGGCGGCGATTTCCTTGAGCGACTTGAGCAGCTGGCGCCGCCACTCGTCAAGGTGGGCAACGGCGGTGGCCCGCAGTCGAATCAGCTCCCGGGTCGGGGGCTGAGAGGCCTGCTTCGGCCGCTGGGGCAGACTAGCGGGCGGGCTGCCATTACCTCCTCCATCGGCACTGTCGCGGCTCTCGGAGGAGACAAATAAGGGGGCGGGAGAGGTGGGCTGGCCCCGTCGGTTCTGATGGTGGTCCTGGTCGCGGTGCTTCAGGACGAGCTGGGAGCGCATGTACTGCGTGATCTCGTCGACCAGCGTGTAAAGCGCCCGCCGCCTAGCCGTGTTGAGCACGACCAGCAATTGGCGAGGGTCTGCCGCGAGCGGCGCCATGGCTCATCCGCGACGTGTCTTTCTGGTTTCAAGAGGGCGGCTGTCGAGTTAATGCTGGGTCGATGACGTCGTCGGTGATGTCTTGAGCAGTTTGGGAGAGAGACCAGTTTAGGGGAACCAACAACAGAATCCACAGCGCAGCATTGATGCAGTGTAGTGTTGACCGACCTCGTCGGAAAGCAATCCCGTTTGATCTCGTGGGCTTCTTTTTTCTTTTGCTTCGTATTTCGGATCATGGCAGCCTGGGCCTCCAGCTGGTGCAGCATCAAATCCATACCAGGCAATCCGAAATGTGTACCACGAGTGCGCCACAGCTGAGCTCATTGGAGGCCTAGACCCCGCCCATAGTTCGACTGCGATCCTGAAGGATTTATGGAACAAGCCTAAGCGTATTTCCTGAGAAGTCACCCAAGTCCTAATGCTGCAGTTCGGGCAAAAGCAAGATACACAGAATGGACAAAATTATATGAAATCTGCTGAAATCTCACGACAACTCCAAACCCTCAATGTCATCCACCGTCGGCTTCCATCTCCAGGATGTCGAGGCCCTGGGCTCTCCTGCTCTCTCTTGCTTCCCCTTGCTTTTGATTAAAAAAAAGTGGTTTAGCCAACAAGTCTTCATTCCGACCTCCAATGGACGACCCTTCGCTCAGAGCCCCGCGACAGCCAGTCACCCCTCCACCTAGGCCATGGCCGAGTAGTGGCTGTACTGCGCGCCGCGAATAGTTTCGGCGTTGTCGTTGTGGATCCAGATGGTCGCGTCGGCGGCGTCGCGCATCTGGTACGAGAGGCCGCCCTCGCCCCCGGGCGCCCCCTCCACCACGACGCCGAGGCTCAGGGAGAGGCCCCTGGATGCGCCCCACTCACGGAGCACGGCGTCGATGTCGTCGGCGTAGAAGTTGTTCCTCGTGGAGGCGAGCCGCTTGAAGAGGCCGCGCAGCTCGCCCGCGGTCGGCGGCGCCGACGCCGACGCCGCCACGCGCGGCAGCTGCGCCTCGAGGCTGCCTAGGAGCGCCCACATGCCGCAGTGCAGGCCGGCGCTGCTCGTCTGCACCGGGTGCAGGTCACCCCCGTCCGGCGCACCGGAGCCCCCTTCGCCGGGGGGTGCCAACGGTAGCCTTGGTGGTGGTGACGGTGCCAGTAGTGGTAGTGTTGCTGTTGATGGCTGGCCGGCGCCGCATGTTGGCTTCCGCAGCAGCTTCTCCGAGCAGTACGCCTTCAACGACCGCCTAGGGGTCTTGGACGACAGTTTTTTCACCGCAAGGGTGAGCTCATCCGACAGGTGCTCCGCCTCCAGGGTAGTCTGTGGAGGGATTCCCTGGGAGCCCTGCTTGGTGTTCGGGGTCGTGCAGCCGTCGCAGAGCGCCATCAGCTTCCGGGCAGCCTTGATCCGGCGTTGGCTCAGGCGGGAGCCATACTGATCGAGGACCGCTTCTGCGTAGTCCCTATAGCTCTGCAAGGACGCCTCGGTCTGTGCGCTATTGGGGTCCATCATGCTCGGATTGCGCTCGACCTGGATCCAAGGAGAAGATGTGCGCCTGGCCCCCCGCGACGGCTGCTGGTTCGACTAGTTCGTAGTATCCAGCCAAGTGCAAGCCGACGGCACCGTGAGTTGGAAGCTGATCACTTTTGATGATTGATTGGTATGAAGGGGCTTGTATATGGACGTGTAGGAAAGAGCTCTGTGATGGGAACGTGACGCCAAAGCTGCTGGTAGCGACGGAGCCCGGCGAGCAAGGCGGGTGGCAACGGCGCCCGCATGTAAAACCCACGGCACCCATCTCCGATTCCTCGGGAAGGTTGTGGTTGCCTTTGGCTTCGACATCCAAACGGCATCCTTCTCGTGGCGCGCCGCCCCCGCGTGAAGGTTCAGGGGAGAATTGGTGCATCCGCGAACTTTGGTGGGCCTGCTCGTGATCCGGCCCGCTCCAACGCATGCCCTCGACTTGGGGAAGGTAGACAGGGAAAGCTCGCACTGCCCGTTGAAATTGGCGGTGGGTTGTCTAGTTCTTCAAGTCCGTGGATCATACTGTCCCACGCTATTAGCCTACCAAACCTAGTCGCTGTGCTCGTCGTCCTCTTGGCTTTCTGCCTCGCCGTCCTCATCAACCTCGTCGTCATCTTCATCGTCTTCATCGTTGTCCTCCTCCTCCTCCCCGTCATCCTCAGCATCGGCCACCTTGGCCTCACCCTCATCTTCCCTCCGTTTTTGGTCTTCCTCTTTCCTTGCCTCCGCCAGCTGCTTCTCCTTCTCTGCCTTGACTCTCCGCTGTGTGATGACAAAGGCGCCGATCGGTGTCTTCTCCCACTCAAAGTCCTTGAGGAAGGCATCAACCTGGGTTCTGTTCTTAGGCGCAAAGTCCACCTTTGACCTCTTCTCCTCGATAAACTTGGAGTTGGCTTCAATCTTCTGTACCAATAGCACAATGGACGCTTGAAGCTTGTTATTCTTGTTGCCTGACCTTTTGCGCGCGTCTTTCAGCCAGCGCTTCAGGCCGACGACGACGGGCAGGGCCAGTTCGGGGAAGGCGATGTTAGTGGACCACAGCGCAAAGTACTCGGCCAGCAGCTCGGCCGTCTGCTCGCCTACGCCGTCCTGGTAGACGCGCGTGCGCAGATACGACTTCGGCGCCTTGTAAGCAACTGCAAAGTCGAGCTGCCTCAGCGTGGCGGGGCGCGGAGCCTTGCGCATCTCTGCCGACGAGAGGACCTCGAGAAGGGCCGAAGCGAGCGGGATGTAAATGCCCGTGGCGCGGCTCAGGCGCAGCAGCGATCGGATCAGGTGGAAGCGCAAGGGGAAGTAGATGGCGGTAGGGATCAGGCGCATGGCACCCAGAGTGACTTGGACCAGGGGGTAGACCAAGAGGCGGAGCTGGCTCTCGCGCCCTGCCTCAGCCTCGGCGAGGGAACTGCAATGCTCCGACAGGACGCAGGACCAAAAGTCGAGCGAATGGACATACTGCCAGTTGTAGACGGCGCGGTAGGCGTCGTTTTGGTTGTGCACGATGCTGTTGCGCAGGTGGATGGCAAGCTGGCGGATGAAGCTGAAGGCGGTGGTGTAGCCGATAGCCTGATCGATGCCCCAGAGACCCGCGGCCGAGTTCTTCATCAGGTTGATTCCCTGGATGGTGATGGCGTTGGTGGCCCGGCTTCCCTGGACCAGGCCGTGGTAGACGGCCTTGAGCGCGGCCTCGCGCACGCCCTTGTCGCCAATGACGACTAGGCGACGCAGCACCAGGAAGGCCGTGATGCGCGTCGACTCGCTGCTGCTAGCCTGGGCCCAGAAGCCGACAACGGTCTTGATCAGGTTCTTGAGCAGCTTGCGGAAGGAGAGCAGATACGGCAGCAGCGGCGTCAGTGCCGACAGCGTCAGTTTGAGAGTGCCGTCGTCCGAGAGCGTGCGCAGCAGGTGCAGCACCGACGCCGTGTAGCTCTTGATGAGGATCGACAGCGTCTTGAACTTCTTGCCCTCGGTCTGCACATACGTCTTGTGCGACGCCGACTCCTTGACGGGGACATGGTGCTGCAGAACCTCGGGGATCTGCTTAAGCGCCACCACCAGGATGTCGTGGAACACCTGCGGGCTCGAGATGCTGTACTTTTGTGCCCTCTCGCCCTCGACCTGGTCCTCGTTCAAGTGCGCAGCGCTCCGGAATGCCAGCACCACCTGCCTCGCCGCCCGCAGAGACTTTGTCTCGTCGAGCGACTTCTTCCACTTGGCCACCATCTCGCGCGTGAGCTCGTTCTTCCTGACAAACTCGTCCTCCTCCTCAGATTCGTCGCTATCCGCATTCTTCTTCTTCTTCTTGTCCTTCTTGCGCTTCTTTTTGGGTTGCTCCTCCTGGTCCGGCTCCTCCTCGCCCCCGCTGCTCAGCGCATCCACCTCGGCCATGTCGACGTTCTCGTCGAAGTCGAGGGTCTCGGGATCGTTCTCCTTCAGGAACTTGTAGAACTCGGGGTCCTTCTCGGCCAGCGCATCCATGGCCTCCTTGGTCATGCCCACATCCTCGTCGTCGATGGCGGAGCCGTCGTCACTGTCGCTTTCGACGAAACCGTCCTGGACCGAGGAACCTGAGTCGCTCGTCTCGTCTTCGTCGCCGCTGCCAGCGCTAGGCTGGCGCTTAGCATCCGACTCGTCTCGTTTCCTCTTGCCCAGCTTCCCGTTGGCCTTGGCCTTCTTCCCTACACCCGCGCCCGCATCCTTGCCATCGAGGATCTCGAAGCCTCCCTTGAAGAAGTCGTCGACGCTCATCTCGCCAACAGTAGCGCCCGGCCGCCTCTTGGCGGCGGGCTTGGAGGCGCCGCCGTCGGCATTGTCGCTAGACTTGTAGAAGGAGGCATCGGCCGACTTTTTAGCCTGCTTCTTCGCCTTGACTTGCGCCCGCTGCTTGATCTTGGCATCGGTCTTGCGCTTTTCCAGGACGCCCTTCAGATGCTTCTTTTCGAATTTCCTGGTCGCCTTGAGATTCTTCTTTGAGGGCGCCATAGTGGGTGAGAAGGCGCCGTGGTGACGGCCAAAAAAAAAGGAACAAAACACAACAAGAACGCAAATTGGAGGTTTTTTTCCGTCTCGTTTCCGCTGTGTCGCCAAACTCCCCCCAAAATTTACAAAATTTTCCCCCGATAGCAGTTCGGTCTGCTATCCGCTATCTTATCGGAGGGTCTAGACCGTTTTGGGCTAGGTTTGGGGGGCAGTCTGGGGGGCAGGTCTCCACCATGGAGGACCTCCCAGGTACCCACGCGGCCTGACATCGCTGAGGTGGGGCGGGGGAACCCAGGCTTCAACATTGGGATGACGAAGTCGCCAAAGAGGGCAGACAGACATGTATAATACAATGCACACGCGGCCAGACTGAGCGACGACGACCGCGAGCTTGAACCTCCTGGTCCCCTCACGATGATGCCGATGCAGGGCTACGCGCCCACGCCGCACAGCTATGTGCCCAACACGGCCATGTCGGCCACCATCAGCCTCGACGAGGAGGTGCGGCTGGCCGACACGCGCGCCGAGCGCGACCTGCAGGACTCGCTCGCCGAGATCTTCTCCATCATCGTCACCGTCGACGAGCTCGAGAAGGCCTTCCTCAAGGACGCCATCCCTGAGTCGGACTACACCGACATCTGCGAGCGCTCCCTCAAGCAGTATCGCTCTATCCTGGCCGACGAGACCGTCGCAGCCGCCTTTGGCGACCTCGAGGAGTTCAAGGCCGAGTGGGACGTATGTGCCGTGTTCTTTTCTTGCGCGTATGGGTAGCAGGCCCATCGTCCGCCTAGCCCTATCGTCATCCCACCCCTCCCATTTTGCTGCTTATTCCTTGCCGCTGATACGGCGCATGACCTCTGGCACCGCGCTTCCAGCTCGAGGTCCCCCGGGCTACAGAGCGCATCCGGGTCGGCATGCCCGCGACGGCGGTGCAGGCCTCATCCGGCGGCGGCGGCGTCAACCGCATGAGCGGGCCCGGCGACATGGGAGGCGGCGGGGCCGGGAGCGCGCCCGGCGGAGCCCTGATCCTGGAGGCCACGCAGGACTTCATCACGTTCCTCGACGCCCTGCGGCTCGGCCTGCTGGCAAAGGACCAGCTGCACCCGCTCCTGACGGACGTGATCCAGTCGGTCAACAAGGTCACGGATCGCGACTTTGAGAACCGCGGCAAGATCGTGCAGTGGCTCATCACGCTCAACCAGATGAAGGCCACCGAGGAGCTTAGTGACGTCCAGGCCCGCGAGCTGGAGCTGGACATCAACTCGGCTTACCAGGGCTTTAAAAACATTCTGTCTTAGAGAGCATGTGTTTCGTGGTTGGCACGAAAACAATCCTGTTAATATCTTCCCCCCTCCGGATGGGTCGGGCAGTCTGGCTTGTTTGGAGTAGTCGATATAGGGGCATGTGTGGCCCAATTATACCAAAAAGGTCCAGAAGCTAGGATAGACAAATTCCTCCTCGAATATTCTCCTGACCTGCTCGAGCACGAACCGTTCCACCTTGCCCACGTTCCTGAGACTCTGCTTCCCGCTCTCTCGCTGGCCGATCTCACTTTCTACCCTGATCTCCTGAAGCAGACCGCCCATCCTCGTGGTGCTTTCGCCTCCGACAGTCGACGCACCACTAGTGACGCGACTTCGTCCTTCGCGTCGCGGTGGTGGTGGCGATTGCTGCTGTTGTTCTTGCTGCTGCTGCTGCGATTGCGTTTGCCCCTCGGCGCTGCCGCCGCCGCCGCCCACCTCGGCGCCCGCGTCGTCGCCGACCTCGGTATCGCCGCTGCCCGTGATGGCGACAGCGTCCTCAGGGCTGAGGAAGCAAAAGTGCACCCGCTTGCGGATGTAGGCCAGGACGCCAACGCCGTCAAAGGTGAGGCCAGTTATGCTCAGGCGCACGGGGATGCCGACGAAGCTGGGCATGGGATAGTCGAGCAGGATGTCGGCCGTCAGCAGCAGCCTGACGTCGCCGGCGTAGCGGATGCGGAACACGGCCTGGAGGTCCTCGATGCGCTGCTCCCGGAACCGCCGCCCGTCCTCGCGGTGCTGCTGGTCGGCGGGGTCGTTGTTGCCTCCCGCCGCCGCCGCCGCCGCCGCCGTTCCTGCTGCCGCCCCCCTGGCCCCGGCCCCGCCGCCATCGTTGTGGTCGTCGACGCCATCTTCCGACTTGGCCACCGGCTTCTCCCGCGTCGGCGGCCGCGAGTTGTTGCCCACGCTCGTGGGCGCGAGGGTGCTGACGCTGTGCTTCTCGCGCAGCCGCGGCTGCAGCGGCGCCAGCCCGGGCCCCGCCACACCCGGCGGCGAGCCCCTCCGCGCCGCCTGC